ATTCACACCTAAATGTTCGCCTAGTTTTGAGTCGTGAAATTGTGATAAAATGACTGCTTTTTCTTCTTCACTATATTCTACATTTGCACATGTAATTATTGCTATATCTGTATTGCAAAATATGTATTGTAACATTGACCTTATTTTTTTCCTTTCTAAATTATCGTGATCGCCTATCTTGCCCATGGCTAATTTATTCAGATTGTTTTCCTTACAAAATGATTTTAAATTTATTAGTGATAAATGTATGCTTTCTAAGAATATTATAAACCTGTTTTCCTGTTTGAAATAGGGTGTGTCTCCTATTACTTTACTAGTCGGCAATATTGTACCGTTTCCAAATTGTTTTTTTAATTGATAATTCGTTCCTGTTTTAAAATTATATTGCTTGGCAATTTCTGATACTATATTATATTTTTTTTGTGAATCTATTAGTGTACCTATAGTTTCTTTTACATTAATATTTGTGATAATTTGTGTTCCTAACTTTTCGATATATTGTTCGTATGATTTGTTTTTTATTTCCTGAATTGAATATATGCATGTGAGAGTATCTACATTTGAATTTAGAACTCCGGGTTTGTGACGTATTTGTAATTGATTTGTGTTAGCGGCGAATGAATTAAATGTTATATGATTATTTTCTAAGGTTGAGAATATATGGAATATTCGTGAGTCGGTTGTTCCGCGATAATCTGGTTTATCGTACGAGTACCGCGCCTCTCGTTCGACACGTTTTCGTTTTCCGAATTATTAACGTTTCTACTCTCATCGTTTCTCTTTTTATAACACGAGTCGATATTATGACCAGTTCGATTACAGTATGAACACGTAACTACCTGTATATTATAATTCGTAAGTGGTTGCGTAAAATTATTCCTATCAGGTGGACGGTTGTTATTGCCATTGCTCGCATAACTAGGTCTCGTATTATTCCTACATCGAGATGCATAATGATTACCATTACAATTATAGCATTTTATTGCTGGCCTATTGATTGGTTGAGAAAAATTGTTTGCACCCGGATAATTATTTGTCCTTACAGGGTTATTTGGTCTAATGTTTTCGTTGTTCTTATTTTCGTAATTCGATCTGCTCTGGTTATAATTTTGTGAATGAATATTCGAATAATGGTTCCTATTTTCCTGTTCTAATCTTAGTTCTACCTGTTCTGACATAGCAAGTTGTTTCGCGATCTCCAGGGTTTTGGGGTTACGAGATTTTACTATTGTTCTAATCGGTTCTACTAATCCTTTAATAAATATCGCTAGAGTTTGTTCCCTTAATATATCATATATAATTTTTGCTTCTGCAGCTTCTTTGCCTAATGTGCTTACGGTACATAACTGATAATATAATTTCTCTACTCTATGACAATAATCGTTTACATCCTCATTGTGATTCATTCTAATCGAATTTAATTGAAGTTGCAACGACGATGCATTGGTTGTCACTTCGAATGCGTCTGTTAAATAAATTTTTATAAACTGCCATTTCGATACATTTTTGTATTTAATCATTTCTAATGCTCTACCCGTTAAACGTGTGGTAATATATTTTACTAGTGTTGGTGCACTATTTGTGTCGACTAAACTTACTGCCATATCGCATGCATTTATGAATTGATAGATATCGTCTATTCCTGTGCATAGTGGAATTAATTTAAAAGCGTCTTCTAATCTTATGGTTACTGCCATTTTTTAGTGCGTGTTATAGGTAAAAATACTAATGACTGATGTTCAAAACTATCTGTGACTTGGCTACGTGTGATTACTCCTGGACTTGAGTTTCTACTTGCGCTATCTCCTAACTGGGTATCTACTATAATATTCAACTGGGCTTTCTGCTGGGCTTCAAACTGGGCTTGGGCTTCTCTCTGGGCTAATAACTGGGCTTCTAACTGGGCTTCTTCTACTACACTAGTGTCATACAATGAATTAGCTACGTTCAAGGGAGATGTACCTTCTTTGTCCATAAATTACTTAGCTACCTATTTAATACGTTAATACTCATAATAATAATAATCAACAATGCCCTATAAATACAATAATAACTTCAATAATATGCCCTTTAATAAATTCAATAAACTTCAATAATACTTCAATAATAAAAATGCCCTCAATAAATCAATAAACTTCAATAATAATCAATAATAACTTCAATAAAACATGCCCTCAATAATAAACTTCAATAATCAATAAATATGCCCTCAATAAATTCAATAAAACTTCAATAATAATCAATAAAATATGCCCTCAATAAAATTTAAAACGTTTTACACCATTATACTTATAGTCAACTACTTAGAATTATCTAATATGTTCTAATTATGTTGCATACGTCTATGTAACAAATTTAAATAATTATTCACTCACAATAATGCTGTGTTCCTGGTTGCTGATGACATGCTGATGGATTTGTTGGTACCGCGACGTGACTTATTTATTTTTGATGGTTCTTCTTGGAGTTGTCTTCTCGGAAGAGTGTACAGTTCTTCTTTGTTGACGGTAGCCTTTGATGGTTGCCTCCCTTTGTAGAATCCTTTATCGACTGCGCCAGTGTTACATGCGGCCCTTCAGGGATCCAAAAGCTTGTTGCACTTTTACAATAAAATGTAATCAATTTAAATATAAATCAATTGTAATTTATTAAAATCAATAATAAATAATGTAGTAGTGGTGAATTGCAGCGTCGTGAGTTGACTCGTTGTAGTAGTCGATAATCTCCATGTAAGTCGTGTGTAATGGCTGGTGGCTAAACGGCTCGCTCGGTCTTGGCGGCTCTGGTACATCTACTTTGGCTGTCTCGCTGTCCCCTATATATATGGTGGCGGCGTCCTTTGAAGTGAGCGGCGCGTGTACAGTCGTCCTTGATATGGACCTCACGACTATGAAAGTGGTATTCGTAGTCGAAAACACTTTTGGGTGTGGTCGCATTCCTGGTTGTTATTATGAGCAAATATATGATATTGCGTAATCCCATTACAGTGTGTTGACCAGTTATGACATGTACGGACATGTATGGAATGGTTCAGAGCCCTGCGTATCAAACGCGTGTCGCATCGGTTTTTCACTTTGTCATCGATGTTCATTGAGAGCGTTGAAACTTAATTTTCAAAATCCTTTGGTTTAAAAGTGCTAAATAATAACAATAAAAAAATATGGCACAACTAAACATTGATACAGAACTTCTAATTAGTGAAGTACAGGCCAGAAAAAATCTCTGGCACGCTGGTGATGAATTATATAAAGATCGTGACATCAGAATCAAAAGTTGGAAAGAAATCACAAGTAATATAATAAAAAATTATAACGAAATGTCTGATTTCGACCAGAAAAAAGCAGGTAAGTACGTTTTTTAGAATAAAGACTATATTATAATAATGTTATCTTTCAAAAAGTATCTATAGGCAGGTAGGAAGTATTGCAAAAGATACTTTTTAAAAATATTCAAGTACAGATATACAGATACTTATTTTAAAATACGTATTTGAGTACTTGGAAAGTATCTAAATACTTTTACTCTAGTACTTTACAAGACTGTAAGTAGGTAGGTCTTATAAGTCAAAAAAAAATTGCTATAATAACTACAATATATTTTATATTGCTATATTTTAAATTAAAATAATACAAATAATTAATGGATCATTCTGTCTTGCCATTCAACCTTTCCTGTATCACTGATGAAATAATTAGCGAACATATCTCGTATATTATTTCCGGACCTGTTAAGTAGATCTACTTCTTCATTTGAATTTATCAAACCACTTACACTAACTGTATCTTCAAACTTATATCCATCTCTTACTCTAACAAAATTGTGTAAAATACAACAAGCTTTCACAATTTTTTCCGAAAGTTCCACGCTAACATTCAACGGCCTATGTAAAATTCTCCACTTGTTGGATAAAATCCCAAATGTTGACTCGATGTATCGTCGCGCTCTTGATAATCGATAATTAAATATTTTCTTTTTGTAGTTAAGATTACTCCTGGCGTACGGTCTTAAAATAGATCGAGATACACCAAAAGCTTCATCAGCAAAAATTACAAATGGCAATGATTGATTTGTGTTATCTCCAGGTAGTCTTGGCTTTGGAATATTTAACGAATAATTTTCAAGCTTCTTGTAAAACATACCATGTCTAAAAACACTAGAATCGCCATATTTACCTTGAGCTCCAATATCAACGTACGTGAAACAGTAATTGGCGTCACAAATTGCCATTAAAACAATCGAATAATAATGTTTGTAGTTATAAAATAACGAACCACTTTGCATAGGTTTTATAACTCTTACGTGCTTACCATCTAAAGCTCCGATACAATTTGGGAAATTTGTGATATTTCCAAATTCAGATGCAATTGTTATCCACTTTTCTTCTGTTAAGGTAGGCATACATTCAACTTTTAAATTCTAGATGCTATCACAGACTTGCTCCACTATTCCACTGATAGTAGAAATTCAAATTCTATATGTATAATGTAAATCCGTAAATGTATTACCAGAAGCGAGATACCTGAAAATTAAAAATATTAAAAAATTTGTATAATTTATTACTACCTAATTAATGTATTGATTTAACAATGATGTGTCTGTTTTTTTTGTCAGCATGTATACGTATACGATAAGTACCTAGTCCAAATAGACTTATAAATTGATTTTCTATATACACTATTAAATGTTCAAAATATTTGGACGTATTTTGAGCTATATAGACATTTTCTATTTTAGATTCTGAGTGGAACAAAGAATGTATTGATTTTACAATGATGTGTGTTTTTTTTACTTTTTACACTCATACATGTATATCAAACGAATAACATTATTATAACCTATATAATATCTATCCAATCTATCCAATTATTATAGTTAATAGTTTATATATTTTATATTTTAATAATATAACCTATCTAACCTATTTATTTAGTTGAAAAAGTGCAACAACGGTGGAAAACTGCAAGAGATGCAAAAATGCGATCAATTTCAAAAAAAAAAATATGAAGTCTGCATCCGCTGAAAAAAACTTAAAACACTATATTTACGATCGTCAACTTCAGTTTTTAGAAACAGTTGCTGAACCCAATACGTAAATAATACCTAATTGTATTTCTTTAATATATCTCAACAGTAATATATTATAATTATAATTATATAATTTATGCTAAATATTTTTAATTTCAGAAGTCAATCAAGTCTTGATGAAATTGACGTTCTCCAAGCCGAAGTTGAGGAAGACGATCAAAATACTAAAATTGTAGAGGATCAGGATGATAGCATAGAATTACCTGCAGAAACTGAAAAATGGAAAAGGAAGAGAAATACTGGGAGTACAACTAGGAGTAAAATTAATAAAAGTAACCAAAACTTCGAGGAACAATTTTTAACAGTATTTCAAACTAGTCTTCAGGAAGATGAAGACCGATCTTTTTTGGAATCGCTGTTACCCACACTTCGTCAATTTAATGGTGACCAAAAATTACTTTTTCGAAGTAAAGTGATACAGGATCTTATGGAAATTAAAAAAATGAGTCCGGTTGCACCAGCCAGCTCCCTTGGTGCAAAAACATCCAGTGTATCCACAAAATGATTTTTCGCCTTTCAAAGATACCAATTACCCTTCCACAAGTTATTTGACAAATGACAACAACTTCTTGACACAAAATTGGTATTCAGACCACAACAGCTCAGTTTAAGACACTTAATATATTTAAAATGTATTACAATTTATTATAAGATTTATTTTTTTATTTATTTTTTTATTTTAAAATTGGTTTTTTATGAATATCAAATTAGGCATAAATTGTTCCTATTATTTTAAATAATTTTGATTGATTATTATATTTAAAATAATCAATTTACCTGTTTTAATTTCAGAAGTGTTATAAAGATCAATTTGTAATTTGATGATTTGTTTTTTTATGAAAATAAAAGTTTTTTCAACATTAAAATATGTTGAACTTTTAACTACCTATCTTTAACTCCTACTCAATTCATATGGGTACCAAATGTATTATAGGTAATGAGTTAAAAAAAACAAACATTATTTATATTAAAAATAATTGTTGATTCTAATTAACTTTTAAAATATATTGACAACTAAATACTAATTATAACTATTTAACTTAATTTTAGGTATTTTAAAATATGTATTTCTTACCTTAACGTTACACATAATCTTTCCATTGGAGTGATAGGTATACGACCTTGGTTGGACACTAATAAGCTACCCTCAAGCTTACTTATAAGTTCATCAAATTACGTAATTGTCATTCTAAAGTAGTTGAAAAACTTTTTGTTGTCTTCTCGTAAATCAGAGTAAAGTGTGACGAAAGCGCCTTTTAATGCTCTTTGCTCTACCATTGGGTGAACCCAAATGCGACGAACTTTGCGTTTTTGTTGTAATTTTTTTTTCAAAATATAGCGTTGAGCTATAAAAAATAAAATACACTTCATTTTTTGAGTATTCATCTTGAACTTTCGGCTTCAACTAGTGAACACTCCAAATGAAAAACAATGAATGACGCTGTTACATGCGGCCCTTCAGGGATCCAAAAGCTGTCGTGCTTTTACAAATAAATATAGTCAATTTAAAATATGAATCAATTGTACTTTATTAAAACCAATAATAAATAATGTAGTCGTGGTGAAATTGCAGCGCCGTGAGTTGACTTGTTGTAGTAGTTGATAATCTCCGTGTAAGTTGTGTGTGATGGCTGGGCGGCTAAGCGAGTCGTGTGTTGTTCTCGTCTCTGGATACATCTAATTTGTATTGAGGCCCTAGCCTCTATATATACGAATATACGAAGGCGACGCCCTTTGAATTGAGCGGCGCGTGGCATGTAGGCGCCCTTGGGAAGTTGTTGTGATCCGAAGCGTCTATTCTAGCTATGACCACTTTTGGGTGCGGTCGACGAGGCCGCTTTCTACATAAGTAGTACTTGTTATTGTGAGCGTTGTACATGAATTGCGTAATCCCATTACACCTCCCCACCAAAAAAAAGATTGTTAACCTTTAAGGGTTAAGAATCTTTAACAATCATATTTAAGTTAATTAATCACAATAGTTGATTTACAATCTGACATACATTTGATTACAATTGTTATAATAGTTTACAATTTGATATTACAGTGTAGACATTACAATTTTTAAGTGTCATACATAATTACATGTTTTTTATATATATTAAAAGTTATATATCGTGGTTAGTACAGTGTTAGTAAGAAGGAGCAATAGTCCTTCAAAAATAATAAATAGTATTGTACCTGAAATTACAATATTAAAAGTGTAAGTATATAATGTAAGTATATAATGTATAACGTAAATATTTCCCCTTGAATACAATATAATAATTATTATCTTCCACTAATTAATTTTATTTAATAAATTTATATGGATAATTATTAAAATTGTCATAAACATATGCAACCAAACATTTTTGTTACTTAGGATAGTATATTATATAACTCGGGTCCCTAGTTTTTTCTATTATTTCTGCTAAATGTTTACATTCTCCCTTACAGTGATCATCTATAAAAAGTTCAAGATTTCTTGTTATTTTATTTAAAGTTTTATGATCATAGCGGTTATTTAATCTTTTGTTGGCTTTCAATATATGCCTGTTAAGACATACTGACTGCATCTTATTTTCTTTTAAGTTATAGATATGTACTTCTGTTTTTATTATGTTTTTTAATTCCTCAACGAATCTAAAATAATATTACAAGTGTTAAATTATTTATTTACCATAACCATATATATATAATTTATTTTCTAAAGCTTATTTATTAACTATAATAATTCATTTATTCTGATTATAATAATTTCTTTTATATTTTTTCGCTAACTTATATAAATATATAGGTCTCATTTTTGAAACAACATAATTAAATAGACATTTCGTTAAAACTACATCGGTAACTGGATCATGAAAATACGTAATATTATGATTAGTTTCACACATTAATCCATGCGCTTCCGATAATCCTAACATTCTACCATTTTTATTCATTTTCCCTAAATACCCTGAATATAAAACTTCTTTAGTTTCTAAATTTGTTAATTCTAAATTAAATTCGTCATTATTTTTAATACTATACGCTGATATATTTAAAAATGCTACAATACCCTTAATTCTTAATCGTTTAATTAATGTTATGTCCGTCGTTCCATTCCAGAAAACTATTACTGGATCCCTATTGTCTATGTGCAAATATCTTTGCAAGTAAACCGTTGACAAGGTTGATTCCCCCTGGTGGCTTACACTTTTGTATAATTGGTCCAACAGTGGTGCAATCACGCTTGCCTTTTTCCCTCGGAATACCCGTTTGATTGTTTGCACTATTTTCTTAAGATCGCATTTCCGAAATCTCCTTAACTTATCGTCTTTTGTAAGTATAAGGGGACTTCCTTCCAATTTCTTGGGCTGGTATTTTTCTAGACTATTTGAAATCGCCCCGGATACCAATAATGTTTCCTCTTTACTAACCGTAAAGAATTCGAAATCCACTATGAAAAAACGGATCTGTGAGCTAAAATAAAATTTATTATTGAACGTCAGTAACACTATAATTTAATAATATTATTATACATTTATGTTTTTTTATTTCTTGGAACTATATCGTATACTGGTTTATTGCCACTCCTCTAATTATTAGTTTTTCTAACAACAAACCTAATTCTACACAAATGGGTCTGTTGTGGTCCGGTCGTTCAAAAACCGTGTGTACGAAGTTGCACACATGAACCATAACTCTTTCCAAAGCTAGTCTTGGAAAAGGGTGTGTCATGTCTTCATTCGCCCTCCTTAAGTGTCTTCTGAAACAGTGTAGGGTCACTGTTCCCCCATGATTTAATTGTGTGTGGCGTGCTGTTATTAACTCTACTATAAGTCTGTGAAAGAATTCTCTTGTTTGTAGTGTCTTTTGAACTGTACGAGAAGTAGGTGGTGAGTTCCTATTCATTTTATATTTCTTATTTATGTGGGTATGTTTTTTAAATATTTGTTCTCCTTTTAGTTCCTGAAATAATTAAAGTGGCCTGTTATATAGATGTTACATCGTGATTATTTGTAAGTATTATTCTATGAATTATTTCGTTATGCAAAATAATATTTATTTATTCTAGTGGTTATTATTTTATTAATATGTTACGTATTTATTTTCGTTTTATATGTACTATATTATTTTATTCTATATATTTATTCTATTAATAATTAAATTTTAAGTAAATAATTCGTTATGACTAGCGACTACTCTAAATATATTTATTTTATTATTTTTTATCATTTTTTTTTTAATTAATTAATTTATCTTGGTGAAGGTGGTGGAGTAAAGGGTGTCTCTTCATAATTTCGTACGTAGTCATTTCTATTGGGTGTCCTATATCTAACTATTCTGCCGGGTAATTCCATGACTTCTGTGGTCCTCATATACTTGCATTTTATCATTATATAAATTGCTATTATTAGTATAATAGATATTACTGCCAGTACTATTGTTACATATAGCAAATTACTGTGTACAAATTGATGCTTTTGATTTTGTTCTCTTAAAAGTTCTTGGTTAATCATTTGTTGTACTTCGTCTAAAGATTTGGATGCATCGTGTAAATCTGTGAATTGCATAGCTGGTCCTTTTTCCCATTTTTCATCTGTTTCGAATTTGTGTATATGTTCGGGTATTTTTTCTAAAATATTATTCATGTTAGTTACAGGTGTAAAGTCTTTATATTTTGTAATTTGGATTTCTTCCGTGGCAGTTAATACCGCGTCCCGTGCATATACTTGGCAACTAATGTCGTTTATAGCTATTTCTCCTGCTTCATTTGTTTGTATTATGAATGGATCTATTAAGTTAGCGCAACTTACTGTTAACGTCTCTTTTCCTGCGTGAATCCATGTATTTTTTCTTTTTAATTTTTGGTATACGCTTCTCTTTAAATTAATTTTCTTTACCGTACATAACTCAGGATTAGAATACGTGTCAGCTTTTATAAAGTTTTGTACTTCGCATGGTTGGCGTTCATTGTTGTCCTGTATAGGTTGTGGTGTATTACATATTTTGTATATTGATGTTTCTTTACATTCGTTTAATTGTTGATCTGTGTATGTAGTAAACCTTTTATAGCCTTTGGTTACAGCAATATTATTGTAAGTAATGTCGGTTAAGTACCATCCACTAGAATTATCTTGGTTATGACGCATTGGCACTGGTGTTAACCTGTATAATGTAAGTTCAGTGTCAATAATCAGTGGTATTACTATATCGAATACTAATCTGTCGTTCGAATAGTAGATTCTTATCTTTGTAATTTTTTGAAATTCATTTATTTCATATCTCTTTGTTCCCATCGGAATACTGTATATTTTCTTTATATTTTGTTCTATTGCTTTTAATGTTGATGCTAGTTCTTGAGGTGTCATAAGACTTGGATGTATCATACCTTCTCTAGCGGCAGTTACTATTTGTCCCAATGTTTCTGTTTCGTAGGAATATTGATTTGTAATTACTGTATATAAATTATGTATTTCATTTTTCATTAGTAAATCTAATATATCGTTTGTTTTGTTTTGTATTTTTGACATTTTT